GTCCTTCCCCTCACCCCCAAACTCAACATCAAGATCAATATTATCATCAAACCAATTATCATCACATTCAAAATCAGGTTTCTCTCCTTCACTGTCATCAAAAGTTTCAGATAATTCAGAATCTGACCCTAAGGATTGCTCATCATCAGTATCACTAATCAAACCATTATCAATAGTAGAAGGATTTCAATCAGTTCATATTCATCATTATCACCTTCATTATCACCTATAAAATCCAAAGGCTCACTAACTGAAGGAAGTTCAACTGAGTTTTCAGAGGTGTTTATTTCAGAGGTGTTTATTTCATGTTCCACATACAAACCAAGTAATTTATGTTCATCCACCATAAACACCAGTTGCATGACAATGTTATCATCTTCTAACAACACAAGGTCATTGCAGTCATTAACACCACTCCTACTGCAGTACACATTTTTTATAGCATCAATCCCTAAATCTTGTAGCATGCTCATTACTTCAATCAAGGACAATTCATCAGGATGACAATAATCGACATGTGAAATCTCACCATTTAGATAGAACTTGCGGCCCAAATCCACAAACTTGCCAGAATGGTAAACCCTAATTGTTGGTCTGAATAATTGCTGTATGAATTAATTTCTCAGCAAAAAACAGAAAACAAAACTTACCATATGACGGACCATTTGCACTGGATGAATCATTTTTCTCACGAATTTGCCAACCCATTACTAACGATTTGAAGGAATATAACTTTTTGATCAGGTCATTTGATTTGTTCTTCTTTTTTCTCAGAATTTTGGAACGATTTGAACAAACTAGGTTTTTTTTGGTTGTGTGTGTCGCGTTTAATTGAGCCCCAATTGAGATTTGGGGATTTTGTACCTGTTTTAGTTAATGAAAGGACAGAAAAGCCCCTGAGAATGGCTGTCGGTGTCCGGAAACAGGCGAAGTGCAACATTTCACGAAGTTTTGCCTGGTTAAGTGTCACAAAACGAAGTTTGGTGGGCAATGTGTAAAAAAATGAATTGTTTGGTAGGCAAAGTGTAATTTTCCTTAATTTTAATAAATATTATACATTTATACCATGTAATATTTTATTTTTATATGTACATAAGTTGATGTTAATAAATTTTATAGTTGTAAAATTTAACATCTATGTAAGTGGTTCACGGTCTAATTGACATTTGTCTAAGTTTCTTAAAAAAATTTGAATGAGCACTGATAACTCGTCTATTTGGGGTTAAGGATCATCGACTCCCGAAAGTTGTAGCCCTGTAGTTGATCGCTAACAATAGTAACTGCATTTCAGAACATCTCTAGGGTTTTGTTTTGGAGGTTTTGATCTGGAATTCAATGGCTATGGAGAAGAACAAGTATAGCATAATCGTTCCTACCTACAATGAACGCCTCAACATCGCTCTCGTCGTTTACCTAATTTTCAAGCATCTGCAGTGAGTTCCTCTGTGTGTGTGTGTGTGTGTGTGTGTGTGCGTGCGCGCGCGCTCGCGCTATTACCCTTAGATGTTGGCAAAATATTAAGATGGGATCGAACAATCTCCCGGTCTATATGTGATCGACTTAACTGCACCTTCAGTTCGCGAGTATGGATTTTGTCAATTCTTTTGTCCGAATCGGGTATTCCATAAAAGTAATAATTTTTGGAATTTGAATTGGCAACATTTAGCTGGATTTATTGCATAGTATCGAGCTGTGTTACTTTTGAGATGCTCAACTCCACAGGTCCTTTTGCTGTAGTGTTTTCCGAGGATTTGTTGTTGGTGTTTGAATTTTAATTTTGCATTCCTTTGTTTAACAGAAGGATTAAATGCTCCAAAATGTCTGCGATTGTGTTATGCTAGGGATGTTCGACCATTAAAAATGAATTTGCATTTGAGATAAAGTTATTCAATTAGGTGTAGAATCAGATACCATCAAATTTCTGGGGATTTCATTATGTTTTGTGGTTAGGTTAAGTAAGCCAGCCAAATGGGCCATAGCAAGATAGAGGACCGGAGACTTGTCTGTGCCAACGTTTTGCTTCTTATTTATTTTTTGTTTAGATGAGCTCAGTGTTCCGCATTGAAGTGGATGTATAAATTCAGTTGTTGGGTGCTTTATTTAAGTTTGAACTTTAGAGCCTTGAAGACGCAATGGTGTTAAGAGAAATATTCAGATGTGTTAATAGATCTAGTTGTATAAGTGAAAAATGACTCTTTTTTGGGCAGTTCGTGTGGCAATTGGTATTTTTTGCTCTTCTCTGTTCTTTTATGCTTTTAACTGTGGCTAATGGTATTATAGAGTTTTAAAGGCCAATTTGTTTATGTTCTTTGCACGTGGGAGACTTGATAATTGATATATCTTTCTCTTGGACCAGGAATGTAGATTTCGAAATAATTATCGTGGATGATGGGAGTCCAGATGGGACCCAGGAGATTGTTAAACAGTTGCAGCAAGTCTATGGTGAAGATTGTATTGTAAGTTTTTAGGAATTAGGACTGAGGAGTCAACTTGTTTTCTCCCTTAAATATTTTGCATATAATTTCACAGCGTTAATGTCTAGTGCTGTATGTTTATTCATGGATCTTTATGGTGCAGCTGCTGAGACCCAGACCTAAGAAGCTTGGCTTGGGTATGTGTTTAGGCATCCTCTATTTTTGAAAGATGTTTATAATTATTTCACTATTTCAAGGTTAGCATTATTTATTTATCCATTTTCAGGGACGGCTTATATGCACGGACTGAAGCATGCAAATGGAAACTTTGTTGTGATAATGGATGCTGATTTGTCCCACCATGTAAGTGTGCATCTTGAGATCCATTACGTATAGGATTTGTTCATATTGTGTTGCATTTTCTAGTAGATACGGTGAAAAATATTTGTGTGATAATAAACATTCACTCTTAATGGTCAAAAGTTAACTATTTGAATCTACCAAAAATAAAGAAAAACTTAAAGTGGCCCAAATTCATTCATGTTTTTATGTAGAAAAAATATGCTTTTTTTTGTTATTATTTAATCCACATCGAGCTGAGTTTTCTTTCTTGTGCTTGTTGTCAGCCGAAGTACTTGCCAAGCTTTATCAAGTAAGTTGTATTAAAGTGAGCTGCTGGAGGAGATATATGATCTTAGCATCCAATCTAGGTGATATAAATCTTCTTGTTCAGGAAACAGATGGAGACAGGCGCAAGCATAGTTACTGGGACACGATATGTGGAAGGTGGTGGTGTCCATGGATGGAATCTGATGCGTAAATTGACGAGCAGGGGAGCCAATGTCCTTGCACAAACCCTTCTCTGGCCAGGTGTATCGGACTTAACTGGATCGTTCAGGTATTTTACTTCAATAACAATTTTTGTTTCTCCAATCCAAATTCCATATAATAGCCTTCATTTTTTGTCTTTTCTTTTGAAGGCTTTACCGGAAAACTGTGCTTGAAGATGTTATAAGTTCATGTGTAAGTAAAGGTTATGTTTTCCAGATGGAGATGATTGTTAGAGCCTCTCGAAAGGGACACCACATTGAAGAGGTCATTTCATTTTCTCTCTCTCTCTCTCTCTCTCTCTCTCTCTCTCTCTCTCTCTTTCGAAGGCTAGCCTGTTAATTATGTATTTTCTCAAGTTACTAAGTTAACTAACTATTAATTGAAGATCTTTGATTGCTACAAGGACGACAGAACGGTTTCTTGAAGGTAACCATTAATTGGGGATCTATAATTGCTACCAGGACAATAAAATGGTGTTGGAACCATGTGTTTGAATTTAGCTGTTCCAAAAACCTGGGACTAAGGAAAGAACTTAATTTTATGGTTGGCAATATCAGGAAAAGTGAACACTTTAATGACTTTTGCTGAAGGCCAACTTGATGGAACTAAACATCTATCCACTTAAAAACTTACTGACTTAGCCTAATTCTTGATGCCTATACTGTAATACTTGCAGAAAAAAGTGAATTTAGAATTCAAAAAACACGAAAAGTACTCTACTAACTTCTAAGGACTTGTGATTGGATTTTAAAGTATCTTGTTTGGCTTTTAAGATGCATAAATTCTTATGTATGTTTAGTCCTATCTCAGTCATTGAACCTCTACATTTTTCCTGTTTTTGCTATTTTCCCCCATTTTCCAGGTATGTTAGGTCATGTTTTCTTTGGAAATCTCATTTCTATTGTTAAGCTTTTCAGGCAACATGACAATTATAATTTGTATATAAAGCACTTTGAGAGAATCTATATCCTTGAATTTCCTACAACAAAGCAATCAATGTAGAAATTAAAGGTCAACAATGGAGAAGATATATCAAGACTGAATCTGTATCTTCCTTTATATCTTCAACACTTGTCACTGATTTGGCTCTTTTGAACATTTACACAGGTTCCAATCACGTTTGTGGATAGACTCTATGGGAGCTCAAAGCTAGGAGGATCAGAAATTGTGGAGTATCTCAAAGGACTTCTGTACCTTCTATTTACAACTTAAGAAAATTGTGGGTTTAAGTAATCGGTCGTGATAACTGCAAGCCTTTCTGACAATAGAGGATGTCCAAACGAATACCTAACCCATTCCCTGATCTAAAATACATACAAGCAATTTGACTTTCTGCTCTTGTTTCTCTTTACTGTATGTTGACCCAATTTGCTTTAAATTTATGTCATGGTAAACTAGCAGTGATACAAATTTCCATTATCTGAGTTGAGAGTGATAAAGCAGAGGTGACCGGTTCAGTTATATTTTGAGTTGAGATTGATAAAGCAGATGTGACCAGTTAAGTTATATTTTTTATCAGATTGTAATGACTTTGATCGATAGTGTAATTTTTAATTTTTGAATGCTATTGTGACATCTACTTATCTTGTTGGATTATTTACATTAGAGGAGTGGAATAGATAAGTCCCCCTGTCCTGCAGAATCCTTCATTTCCTTACAAAGATTGCAACGCACGGATAAAAACGCAGCCCGAGTCGAGCCACAGAAATATAACACATTAATTGATATATGTATCTGGCCTGCAGCCTTGGGATATTTTTATTCCAGTTAATGGGGAAGTCAAAATTACTGGATAGCCCTTGAAATACCAGATGAAGTAACCGAGACGATTTTTGAGCAGGATGTGTTTACAACTTAAGTCGCGATATAAGCTGCATTTGTCATCTGTCAACAGCTCCTTCCTGTCATCCCTCCCGATGGCTTGTGAAGTTTCATTCAGACGGTTCAAACAACTGGGTTACAAAAAACCTTCTTCTTTATATTTACTCCTCTCTGGCACTTTGCTGGTATATTTATAAGCCAAGTGGTTTAATAAATCCATATCGTCAATTCCATTATCTGGTTTTTGTATACCTTGATACTGTTTGCTTGGCACGCACCAAGGTATTCCAGGACAATTATACCGTTATTTAGGGGCTTTTTTGTGATCTACAATCTCCAGGTAACACTAGTTGCTGCAACGTTAATGGTTTCTGTTTCTTTATAAATTGTTGTTTGGGTGTTTGCGGGTTTCCAGGACAATTATCTTATTCCTCTTTTGTGCGAAGTGGCTCGTTTTTCAGCTTAATGAAGAAATGGCCTTGAGCACTTTTGTAAATAATTTCTGTTATGTTTTTTTTTTTTTTTTTT